GGGAAGGGTTTATCTCCATCAATATTTATGTTTGCAGTTTAACTCTTTGCAAACCACCCAAAACAATTCAGCTGTCAGGCAGTACAGAGATGTATTAAAGGAATAAACCAATGAATTTGAGCTTACCTTCTTTCCCCCATATGCGGATGCTACGGTCACCACCACAGGAAGCTATTAGAGTCCCTGCAGGGTTCCAGGCAAGAAACCAGCACCGGGAATCTGGGTGTGCTGGGAGGCGACTCAGAAGCATCAGAGAATCCTTCATTGTAGCAACAAATGGCTGCACTGGAATCTATGGAGCAGAAAGAAGGGGGATTTCTTGGAGTAAACTGGATTGATGTTAATCAAGGCAATACTCACCACTAAAAAAAAAAAAAAGACTTGACTTCAAGCAGCATTTCTATTTTAGAATTCTTGCACATGGATGGATTTCAGAAGGGAAGCCACTACAATTTACAAGAGCTGAGCAGGGCTGTCAAGGACTGGGCATTTTGGAGGGCTTTCATTTGGAGGGTTGCCACAAGTTAGAGATGACTTGATGGCACAGAGCAACTAAAACCATGCATTTCCTGAACAAAAGAGCACATTAGCTGGCTACTGCAACCGTTAAAGACACAATCCGGTGCAAGTTTAGATGGCAAAAAGGCCTACAACTCCCAACATAGCTTTATTGATGTATCTATCTAATTTGCAAAATATTAACAACCTAAAACATATTGAATTGCAACTACATAAATCCTTTATAATACCTGGAACCATAACTGAACTTCTCAGGTCATGCAATTCCCATGCCTGTGACATTATACAATCATAAGCTTAGAAATGAGACAGCTTTGAAATGAATAAGTTTCACTGTTCTTCCAAAAGTCCAGTTCAATACCTTCTTATTTAGAAGTAAGTCCCACTCATTTCAGCAGAATTTACTCCCAGAGAAGCAAGGTTACTTATCTGGGGACAAGGGCCACAAGCCAGGTGAAAATTACAGGTATTAGATTGCTGTGCATTAAGTGCCCATAGCTTTCCAGTTGCAAGGATGGCAATTACTGTGCAAGAGAGTGCTTCTCCATGACAGAGAAAAATAAAATATATGTTACAGTGAGCAGACAGTTAGCTGGGGGTGTGGGAGATACAGCCCTCTGCACTTATGTAACCCTACCAGTGTTATACTTAGAATTCCCTGCATCAGTCAGAGCAAAGTCTATTTTGCTTCTCACCTTAAAGATTAGCTGACCCAAGGAAACTCTCAAGCCAGCCATAGCATTTTGGTTTGTTTGCAACTTCTGCTATTTATTCACATACTTATTTATTCATTCACATATTTATATGCCACCTATAACTGCCTGCATGGCCTCCCTAGGCGGCTCACACAATACGTTGCCCATTTAGCACTAGGCCATGCAGGACTGCGTAAAATTTGAAAAGAAGATTGTAACAAGGGGCACTCGGTGCACAGTCCCAGAGATATATGACGCACTGGGCTACAATTCCCAGCATCCGCTACCCAGGGGAAGCTCAACGCCGCTGGGTTGGAGGGGGATCCTGAAGCCTTACCCTTCTGCAGCGCCCCAGTTGTTTTGGACCACCACTCCCAGCTTGCCTTATCATGGCCAGGCTGGCTGAGGCATGCTGGGAGTTGTAGTCCAAGATCTCTGAGGTAACGAAGCGACGCTAGGCTACCCAGCCTCTCCCCTTCGCCCGGCTGGGAGGACCCGGGGAACCTACCCTTTCCGCCCCCGCTCCTCACAGGCTCCCGGGAAGCAAGGTGAGCGAGGAAGCCCCGGAGCCCCGGCCAGCAACCCGCCCCTCCGCTTCTCACCTTCGCTACCTTCCTCGGCGCTCGCAACGGGCCCACGACGCAGTGGCCAGACGACGTCCGCACGCCGCAAAGTTCGATGGGCGTCGTAGACCTTTCTGGACGCGGGAGCGCAAAGGAAAAGGGTCGCGGCTTCACTCAGAAACTACAAATCCCAAGATGCCGTGCGACGCCGCCGCTTTCTGTTTTCTGTGAGAAGAAAACAATTTTTTAAGGAATTGTTGGGCTGCCTGACTCGGACCTCGGAAGAAAAGGGGAGCCCCGCCAGCGAAACAAAAAACGGCCTCGTTCCCGCGGGAGGGCCGCCGTGGCGTCAAGCCCCTTTCCCCGCGTCGTGACGTCGTGCCGCCTCCCCCGCCCCGGCGGAGAGGCGGAAACGGAAGTGCCGGGCGGATGCTCGGTGGCAGGAAGGGGGACCGGGAGGGCCTTTGTGGGCTCGGAGGCGGCGGCGGCCCTTGGAGCCGCCTGCGGGCGCGGGAGGTAACCGTCCGCGGCGGGAGGTAACCGTCCGCGGCGGGAGGGCCCGGGCGGGGGCCGAGCGAAGCGCGGCCGAGAGCGGGGGCCTCCCGACGGGGCCAGCGGCGCCGCCGGCCTGCCTTGCCTCCTCCGGCGCCGCCCAGCCCCGGCTTTGCCTGAGCGCGCGGCTCTGGAGGCGCGGGGAGGCGCCTCCGGCCCCCCGAGGCGCCCCTTTCCCGGGGGAGGGGAGGTGGCCGCTTTAAGGAAAACCGCTTCGCAGACAAAGGTGCGGAGGGGAACTCGGAGGCCGCTGCTCGGGCGTCTCCTCCTCCTAATCTATTATTACATTGATATCCCCCTTTTGAAACTCGTTTAAGGAACCTGTGGCAGCTTCCTTGGTTTTCCCTGCCTTTTTTATCCTCACAGCAGTCCTGCGAGGTAGATTAGGGTGAGTGTCAGTGACTGCCTCAAAGCCACCCATTGGCTTACATAGCCGAGTGGGCTTGGAAGACTTAACTGCCTAAAAATCGGCCACGGAGGGGACCGAAGAGGGGAAAAGAAAGTTCTGTAGCTTCAGTTACAGCCACAGGGCTGTGATGCTATGCAAGCGTAAGCAGAAAAAAGGCTTGTCGTTCCAGTCATTATGAATATGCTTATGTCCTGCTTTTTTTTTTTCTCCCTCTTGCAGGAGGACCAATGTGCCAAGACAAGGGGGAGTGTAAGTGACTAACCCAAAATCACCTGGTAAGCATCATGGCCGAGTGGCAACCAGAATTCAGGTCTCCCAAGACCCCATCCTTCACCCAGTCCACTACATCACACTGGTTTGGCCACATTTTATCTGCATGCTACTCTGTACCAGCTGCCACACCATTTCCTGGCTGAGCTTAAGAAGCTCGTTTTATCCTTTTGAGCAGAGGTGTACAACTTGTAGCTTTCCAGATGTTGTTGGAGTCCAGCTTCCCTCAGTCATGACCATCCTGGCATTGCAGCCAAATGATATCTGGCAGGCAACATATTCCCCATTTAGCTATAAAAAGGGAGGCAGTTGTGGTGCAGTGGTTGACTGGGGACCTACAAGTTTCAGGTTGCAGTCCACCCTTGGCCTTGAAGCTTACTGGTTGAAGCGGGGCAGTGACTGCCTCTCAGCCTGATTTATTTCACAGAGTTGCTGTGAGAGTGGAGAGGGGGGTAACCCAGGTAAGCTGCCTTAGGTTCCTTGCAAGAGGAAAAAAGCAAGATATAAATGCAATGTGTTAAAAATAGTAACAATAGCTTGGGACCCAGGTTATTTGAAAGAGGGCCTTTTCCCCGTATATACCTACCTGGACTTTTTTACAGGTTGTCCCCAGCTCAAGGAAGTGAACTGAATGGTCAACAGGAAACAATCATTTTTGTTAGTGCCTCCTCAGTTATGGAACCCTGGGAAGCTTGTCTGGTCCCAACTTTGTGGTCTCTTTGTTGCCCAGTTAAGACCTTTTTGTTCACCCAGGCCTTTTATTTAATTCATGTGTTATGATCTGGTCCTCTTGTTTAAGATTCATTTTAAATGTATAGTGTTTATTCAGTTGTTTATCATTCTGTATTATTTCAGTTGTTTTCTTTGATGACTGAGCTGAGAATCAGAGTCTGGGGAGTCTTTATGCATATATTATCATTAATGATATTGTTATGGATATAATAATGTCCATGAATATTTAGCTTAAGTCATAATAGAATTGTTCCTTTATAAGTTCCCACTGCCTTATAAAGAAGCCTTGAGAGGAAGTTGTCCCTCAGTAATAAATAAAAGTGTTATTACCATTAGTTCATCTATGTAAGTTACAGTTAATAAAGAATTAGAAGGCAGTTCCCTGTTCCAGATAAAGGAGGAAGCAAAGTGAAATGGAGGCAAGGCTAGCTGGGAATAATTTGTGATTGTTCTAATTAATATGTGCTTGGATTTAATTTGTTATTGCTCAGATAAACAATATTCTTTGGCCTTGTTAGAAGCAATGCAGTGGGCATATGCAAAGGCCAAAAGTGCAAATGCCTTTGCTTGATTGGGAGATAAGGTAAATGAGGAGTTATTTAAGGGTGATTTTGAGGGAAGGCTGTTCCTTATTCTTTATTCCAAATTACATGTTGCTAATCCTCAGAAACACTTAAATTTTCTGGTCTCGTGCATCTTGAGTGACTGTTGTTCTAATGCATTTAGTGGACTTGGAAAAATTGAATGAACAATGCACTGTGGTTATGTCATACTGCTTTGCCAACAAGAGAAAGTGTGTGTCAAGATACACAATGGTGCTATTTAGACTGAGTGAAAGTGACCCTTAGACCCTTATTTCTCCAAACAGTTGAGCTCTATGCACTGTTGCTTGAAACTGTTCAGTGGGCCCCCAAATACCATATAACTTGACACCCTGGTACTCTGCTTCTCTTTTCAGAACAGCTCAGTAAAGTTTGGGCACTAGGTATGCATGCAAAGTCACAAGTTCCATTGCTTGGAAAGGAAGGGATACAGGTTGGGGACGATGGAGATTGCCCCGGCTTCTTGCTTTAGGTTATTCCTCAGCAAAATGTTTCTTTGGGAGAGTGCAGCTGGGTGTCTTGCAATAGCAGGGGGCTGGACCTGACAGCCTTCTGGCCCCTTCCAACTCTGCTATCCTGTGACACCATCTCTGACGAACGCTCTTGGCTCTACAAAGGTTGAATGGTTGTTGTCAGGAAGAAGTCATCAGGATCCTATAGTTGGCACGTATAGCCATAGCTGTTTTTATTGGGGGGCGGGGAATAAGTGTGAGGCTCCTTTCCCCTCTTTCAGGTCACTTATGATCATTTCTTGGAGCACCCCATGTCACCACCCAGGACGGTTCAGTGGACTTAGGTGCTAATAAGCATACTGAAGGCACAGATTCCTTTGCCTAACAAGAAAGGGGAAGTAGATAAACTGGCACCTTGGGGGTTGGGGCACTCCTCTCATTTCTGACTATATGGTTATTCTTCACAAGACCAGCTGATGACTCTAGTCAGCTGGAATGGCTAGTGGTTATTATAAAGAATTAAAGGCGCAGATGTCTTTTATTTGTGCTGGATTGTTTTTATTAACAGTGGACTGGAGCGTTCCATTTAGGAGCTCAATGCAGGCTGTGGGTATGTTGATTGAAGTACAGACTGGCTTGGCTTTGCACAGCAAAGGTTCGCACGTTGTTTACTTTTCATATGATAGTTTGATTGCATCACCTCCTTTGGTGTGGGAATTGTTGACCACTTAGCAGTGTTTGTGCTTTGTTAACTCAAGTATCAAGGTCCTTGGCATGACTTATGTGGAACGCCTCCTCCATCTCACTCTTTGGAATGTGTCAGCATTTCATCTGCTTAGCCTTGCTGAGCATCCACAAATCGTATCCACAGGTTAGTTGCATGGTCAAACAAGAACACATTCCTGGCAGGCCTGTTTACTGTGGTTGTCGGGAGGCAGCCCTTATTTCACAGGCAAAAGCCCATGTAAAAATGTGCACCTGGCTGTCACTTGAAGCATTGTCTTCTCTTCCAGGGCCCTCAAGTGCACGCCGTCCAATGATCTGCTCTGCCTTCTGTTCACCTGCTTCTCCCTGAGTGGTGCTTCGCCGTGCTGGTCACACAGGACACTCGCCTGCTCCTGAAGCTCCAAAGTGCTTCTGGCCACAGTGTGCCGCATTGGATTTATCTTGGTCTTATCTCAGAAAGAGGATCCATGTACACCCCGGGCGGCTCCGCGTTGCCCAGTGGGCGAAGGAGGAGAGGCCAAGATGGGAGTGCCTTGCCCAAGCAGCCTGAGAGGAGCTTGGCGTCCGCATTGCCTGGGGCCCTCTCCATCACAGCTCTGTGCACTGCCTTGGCAGAACCCGCTTGGCTACGGATTCATGGGGGCACTTGTTCTCGCCAGGAGCTGGGAGTGGCTGACGTGCTTGGATATGTTGACCCCGAATTACTGAAAGGTGAGGATGAGATGTGGTTTGTGTGCTTTAAAAAGAGGCATTCAGAGCGGATGGTTCAAGGACGAGCCATGCAGCACGAGCTTATAGGGTTTATTTGGCAAAAGGTTCCCTTGAGAGCAGTGGCGTGTACTCTGTAGGAAATGAGCCTAAGATTATATGCATACTCCTTGGATCCAACTGCTACCAGTGTGCTTTGAGTGTGTGACATGTGGTTTGATACAGTACATAACTGCTGATAGCCGTGCAGCAGTTCTTTTCCAGACATTGATACGGATGAACTTCCTTAGTCCGAAAAAATCTACTTCAGTGCAAAGAAAGGGCATTCTTGCTAACTCTATGCTTTATATCGGGGATCAGCCAATAGAGGCTACAAAACCTTGTCCCCTGTGGAAGATTATGTGTCTCTACACAGCCAGCCCAGAGATTAAGGGGTAAAAGGCAGCTGTTGTGCTGAGAATTTTCGTCCCTGGAGGAGCAGCCTGGCAGCCTACTGTTACCCTTTTCACACTGTACAATTCTGTATGCACGTATGCTCAGGCACTGGTCCTGCTGTGTGGGACAAGTACTCTTCCTCCCTCTTTCCACCGTCCTCTGCCATATCCTTTCCCTGTTGTTCAGTTGGACGACTTTGTTCCTCATAAACGTGTATTGAAACACGTAAAATCCAGCCCAACCCTTTTTTCCAGCTATCAGAGACCAAAGAATCAAGATAGCTGTTCAATCACATGAGTGTGGTTAATTTTTAGCCAAACAACTGGCTCATTGCCAGCCGGTTTCCTGGCTGGCAGAGTCACTTCTTTCCCATTAAAGCTGTTGCCCTTGAGGATTCTGGAAAGCTCCTGCCAGTAATTTTTGAGTTCCTCAGTTGTGCATTAGAACAAGCGCCACTCCATTTTCTCTCCCTACCTGCTGTTCCTGGAAATCTCAGCACACATGCATAATGTCACTTGCTTTCATGTCCCTCCCTGAAAGCCAGCTTTCGCAATGGAAGAAACGAATGGCCATCACCTCAAAATAACATGGGAGATGTGGCAAAGGGCAAGCGGCCCGTTAAAAGGCGGAACAGAGGGCAAGAGAGTGCCCCTCTCACAGCAGAATGTGTTGAGAGGGACAGGGTATCTGGGTGGGTACCAAGGATGTCCAGGGGCACATTGGCCCCTTGCTTGCTACTTCTGCTTTTAGGTTCTCATCCCCTACCCAGATCAAGCCCAAGTATTTATAGCCACATTGGCTTAAGATTTTCTCTGGCACCCGCCTTTCTCACTTGCTTTGTCTCCTCCGTTGTCCAAATATAGACAGGAACCTGAGTTGGCTTCTTTGCTTTTGTTCCTCTGCAGCTCTCCACTGTATGTCTGAACTCATGCTCTCTCTTGCACACATGTGTGCCCACAGGCAGGTGTCCCTAATCAGCACAGAGCACAGGAGCAGTAGGCAGTTCACGGTGCATGAGGCGGAATCACTCTGGTGCTCCCAGCTGTGGCAATTCAGCTGCTGCTGCCTTTGGTACAGCGGAAGAGGCTCCTTCAGCATTTGATGCTGGGAGCTGCCCTTGCCCCAGAGCAAGAGGGTTCTGGTTATGGAATGGTATAAAAATAAATAACTAATACTACTTTAAAAAAAACCTTAAGAGCAATGGTTGTATATGTCACTTCACACGCTTTCCTGATTGTTGTCCTAGTGAAACTGACTTTAAACCAGACAGAACACTTTGAACTGGGAGGAGCCACATCTTGAAAACCGTCTTGGTAACCCTTGCCTCCTTGTTAAAAAAAAGAATACAAAAAACCCTCAGAAGTTTGTTCAGGAAAGATAGTAAATATGTGCACTTCAAAAAATTGTACATTTTCAGCATTAATGCATTTGAGAGTCTCTGAGACTTCTGAAGGAGAGACTTTTGCTGATTCACACCTTGGCAGTTGAAATGGTTGAGCCATAGGATTGGCATATACAACAGCCTTGCAGCAAAGGACCATCGAGGTCACTGGCCACTGAAAAGGCCGCTCAGCTTGCCTGTCTGCATACATCTGCCACTCAATTGTAGCCTGAAAGAAGGAACAGCCGCTTCTTCAGCACTGGAGCAAAGCATGACTTCTGATCCCCAGGGGCATGGTTGTTTATAAGCCCGGTGAAGTTAGAATTAAACTGATACGTTGTTTTGCGTGAGTCTGAACCCGAGTGTCTTCCGGGATCTGCCAAACTATTTTGGACAGGTGAGGAATGAGCAAGCACAATTTTTGGTTAGGCCTGTCTAACTTAGGCCAGGATCCAAAAAATTGTGGAATGAGTTTTTGAGCCGTGGGGACGTGAGACTCGTTCCTCAAAAAACGCCGCCACCACCACCCCACGACCGCCTCCACAGCATTGCAGACTGTTTTTCAAATAGAGAGGTGTTAAAGAAGCAATGGCACTTGGGATAGTGTCTTCTGGGTGCTTTGCAGAGGCGTTGCATCTGTTAATCCTGCCTTGTTTGACCATCGCAAATGCAAAAGCCGTGAGCCAGTGAGAGCACAAGCCCTTTAAAAGTCAACAATCAAGCATGACAAGTACAACCTATTTGTGTGCGCTTAAGCCACACAAGTGGACAAAAGGTGAGCGATATAGTTTAATGCTTTACAGTCTTATCCATTACCTGCTCTGAGCCTGCCAGGACACGTTAATTAACCAAAGACAGCCTTTCCAATTTTAACTTGAATTCCACCTCACATCCTCCGTGAGGGGCAGTGCCTTTCCATGCTTTAGTTCACTGCCAACAGTTTCCTGGTGGACCACGAGGCCCTTCATTTTAAAATCTTGTTTAATGTGTATTTCTCTGTACGGCATGCTTCTTGCCGTGGCAGAAGCAGCAAGACAAGCCAGTGTTGAACACCTAAGTGGGTGGAAACATACAGGTGAGGCTCCTGTACAGAAATACCTCTTTGCTTGGATTCGAATGGATGACATATGAAGTGATCGATATTGTCAAAACATGAGGCTAGAAGGAAGGTCTCCAACACAGGGGAGTCTGGAAAAACCTGTCCCTGAGTCAAAGCGGTCCACTTAAAGAAAGCCTAACCAGGCTTCTGCAGGCTGTCACAACAAGGCAGCAGGTAAGACTTAACGAACCAGTTTGCCAGTGGCAAATAACTTGGCCTTGGGCTGCGCTTCCTTTATGTAACCCCCCAAAGGTTGCTTTGTTTGCTGTTAGTGTAACAGCACTAACAGCAAACAGCAACAGTTTAGTGTTAAACTTAGGTAGGTTCGTGCAAGAACCATATTCTACAACCACCAGGGCCAGAGATTTGATTTTCTTTTAAATACATTTTTCAAGAAAAAAAATCACTCTTGCACACAAAGAGGCATTCATAGAAAATAAAAATAGTGGGCAGCTGCTCTCAGTATTTCTTTTTGAAGCATGTTTAACCACTTAGAAAAACAAGCCAGTATGATAGGGAGTGTCTGGGCGAGGAACAGGGGGTCATTTTCCCTCTGTGTGATTTGCTTGCTTTTGTAGGGGGTTGGGTCTGTCTGTTTTTGTGCGTTGTGTGTTTTGCCCAGTTCTTTGTGCGATGTGCATGTTTGCTTGTTTCTTGGAGTGAGTTATGTTTTGTGGGTGCTGTGCAAGTGCATCTTTCTCTGCGTGTTACCGGCTTGCCTTTTGGTTTGCACTTTGGAACACGGACCACACATGGGCTTTTTTCTCAGTTTGCTTTCTGAGACATGGACGTTTTGCGATGGGCTGCAGCACAGTTGCCAGTGCATCTGTTTTGCGAATGGGCAGCCCTTTTGTGGAAGGACGCGTGCTGCTGCCAGAACGTCCCCGGTAGCCCAGACAGGCTGGGCGCCCCGAGGAATGTTGTGGGCATGCTAGAACAAGAAGGTGCTCTTCTTGTGCTTCCACAGTGAGCGGGCAGAGCTGGTGCGCACGCCATTTGTGCAAAGCCCTTGCTCTTTCATGCTGCTTCTGAAGCCCCGGCAGCCATGAAGTTCATAGTGTTCCATTTGTGGAGCTGTCCTGTTCCTTCCCCTGCAACCATGGAAGGGCCCAAACCGGCCGTGGCCACAGAGGAATGTGTGCAGGTTGCAGGGGGCTTTCCAGCGGGCAGGAAGCGGAGCAGCTAGGACGCACGGGATCTCGTGGCACCTCCTGCTCCGTGCTACACGGGGGCAGAGCAGGGTTCTCTGCTGCCAGCGAGACTCAGAGGCCTCACTAGAGGAAAAATGGGGAGAGACGGTGAGGTGACACTTGCCTCCCTCGCCTCGCCCAACGTGCCCGCAGCAAGAGATTCAGCCACGTCCCGGCTTGGAGGCTTCTGCATAGCGGGACACAACTCATGAGACTGTCGCTTTAAAAATAACGTAGTCTATATATCCACATGGGACGCAGGTGGCGCAGTGGTTTAAACCGCTGTGCTGCTGGGCTGGTTGATCGAAAGGTTGCCGGTTCGAGTCTGCACAACAGGGTGAGCTCCCGTTGCTCCTTCCCGGCTCCTGCCAACCTTGCAGTTCGAAAGTAGGCAAATGCAAGTAGATGAAAAGGTACCACTTCGGTGGGCAGGTAACAGCGTTCCGGGCACTTCGGTGTTCAGTCATGCCGGCCACACAACCACGGAGACCATCTGCGGACAAGCGCTGGCTCCCTCGGCTAGAAAACGGAGATGAGCAGCGCCCCCTGGAGTCAGGCATGACTGGACTTCACGTCAAGGGGAAACCTTTGCCTTTATATATCCACACAAATCCTAGGGCAGAAGGATGTGACTCCCATTTCACAGTTGAACAAGCCTCTCTCTGATAAGTTTCTCAAGAAAAAGAAATGTGAGGAGAGTTTTATTAAACCTGAGCTTCATTTTTATATTAAGGTCATGTGACCAGGCCCTGTGTTCTTAGTGAATCTGGTGGGAATGTGTTTCTTATGGGCTCAGGACAAGATAGTAATACTAGCCAATGGCTGTGTTAGCAGTCACGTTTTCCATAGCAGGTACAGTATTTCACACCCCTTCATTTTATAGTGAATGTGTCAAACTATTTCATCAGCTGGACACAAAAAAATCTCTGGCAGCAATATTTTTAATGTGGCATTAAAGTTGCAGGTACTTCTTTTATCTTCACTATTATTCTTTTTGTCTTTAGCATGCTCCTCACAGGAGCAAAATTCATATCTATTAATCAACAGATGATACAGCATACATGCACATTCTGGTGCAGACTGAATTGCTGATTTCCCGGAGTGGTCTAAGAAGCTCCTGGTGTTCCGAGTTGTAGTAATGTTTGTGGAGGGTAATTTGGGGTTCTCTCTTCCCTTCCAGACTACTGCATGAACCCCCAGACAGTGCTATTGCTTCGAGTGATTGCTGCTTTCTGCTTCCTGGGAATCATCTGCAGCCTCTCAGCCTTCCTCTTGGATGTGTTTGGGCCCAAGCATCCTGCACTGAAGATCACGCGGCGTTACGCATTTGCGCACATCCTCACAGGTAGTTGGGTGGGGTTGATCCTATGTCAGGTTTGCTGTTTGGGAGTGTCCTGAAGCATAGCTTGGTCCTCTTTCTATCAGTGGTTCAAAAAATCCCCACGATGGGGTTGGTACGTAGTTCCATGCCCTGCCATTGCTCTACCAAATGCACATAGTTACTAAACTGCTCTGGACTGGTGTCTTAGGGATGCCAGCACTGCTCTTTCAAACCCACCTCTTCCATGAACCGTTTGCTTTTAGCAAAAACTTGCCAAGACACAGTTTTATTTGAACATTGTTTTCCTGCGATCCTCCTCTTTGTTAAGAACCAGACTGTTAGCTCATCAAGCAGAAAACTCTGTAAACTGCCTTATACACTGAAGGTACTGCATCATTAGTCCCGTGCAGTTTCTAAGATAGGATGCTGCTGCTATTATTATTACATTGCATTTAGATCCCACCCTTTCTCCTCTTGTGAGGAAACCAAGGCAGCTTACCTGGCTCCATCTTATCCCCACCACAACAGCCCTTTGAGGAAGGTTGGTCTGAGAGTCAGTGATTGGCCCAAAGTCACCCAATGAGCTTCATGGCTGAGCGGAGACTAGAAGGCAGACCTCCTGGGTCCCCTCACCACCCTGGCTCCTTGCCTTCTTGTTGCACGGGCACAATGGAGCCCTTGGCCCTGGACTTGGGTGTCTGCCGCAGAAGCATCCCAAGTGCTGCTACTCATACATCATTTAGCCTCTGCAGGCCATCGTGAAGGTGCCACGTCAGCATCTTCCCAGATTCTGAACTGTCATCCCCTCTGCCATTTTTTCCACTGCAGGAAAGACCACTTTCCCAAGAACAAGAACCTAGATAGAAACTTTTTCTCTGACAAATATGGCAGCCGGTGATCAGCAATCTCTTTCAAACACATATCTGTTCAGAGAAACAAGAAAATCCTTATTTACAAGATGATTCAGATTAATTACACTTCCAGCCAATTATGTTTTCCTAGCATTACATACCCTTTTCACTGTATTCACACGCCACTATATTTTAAAATCTGTGTAAGAGGCAAAAGATTCCTCCTTGAGAAAGCACAGTATGTGGTAATTCAGTGTTAAAACCGGCTAACAGTCGTGTTTCTGCTTGTGTGCCAATTCTGAATGCGTCTTTCTGCGTTTTGCTCTTGCCCTCAGTGCTGCAGTGTGCCACTGTTATCGGGTTCTGTTACTGGGCCTCGGAGCTGATTCTGGCGCAGCAGCAGCAGCACAAAAAGTACCACGGCTCGCAAGTGTACGTCACGTTTGCTGTCAGTTTCTACTTGGTGGCTGGAGCTGGCGGGGCCTCCATCCTTGCCACGGCTGCCAACCTGCTGCGCCACTACCCCACTGAAGAGGAGGAGCAGGCCTTGGAGCTCCTCTCTGAGATGGAGGAAAACGAACCTTACCCGGCCGAGTACGAAGTGATCAACCAGTTTCAGCCACCTCCTGCGTACACTCCATAATGCTGCCCCAGAGGATGCGGCTGGGGGGAAGGAAAGGCTTTGTTTTGGCCTGACTGCACAGGATGGTCTTTGGGCACGCACTCCTGAGTCCCGGAACCACGCGCTGGTGCTGCTTCTCCCAAGAAGGTTCGCTCATTTCTGCAACGTCACGCTAGATGGAGAACTCGGCTTGGAGAGTTGACGAAGCAGGACCCATCCCTGCGCAGCGCCCTCCAAAGCCGTCCTGTGTTCTAGGGCAATTTCCTGGGCGCTCTTCTTTCCCAGGGTCCTTTTCAATAGTACACAGAACGGTCAGAATAACTGACTGGCCTGACCCAGCTGCAGTCTTGTGCTTTCTCTGACTCCAAGACTTGTCCTGGACTGCCCAGATATTTGCGTTCACGTGGATATTCCCTGGGAAGAGAAGAAAGCGCAGCTACTTCAGGAGGAGGTCTCGCCTTGTCTGTCACCAAGATGGAATGTGCACAGCTTGACTCAGTGGGGAGGGGGTGGGGAGGGTGGGGGCCACTATTTTTTTCCATTATGATAAGATCTTTCGCACTGGTTATGCACACTCGCAGTAGTGAGTTCAACAGTCCTGCACTGTTCATCCACCACCCCAGCTCAGAGGCACTGCCTCTTCTGGGGGAAGGTGACTCTCACGGATATTCATGCCTGGGGCAAACACGTTCTGCATTTAGCACATCTGAGGTGGAGGCCCTTCTCTATGCACTGGCTTGTAGGGGTGGGGGTGGGTGACATACCTTAGTTGATTCATGTCCTTGCCTAAAAGATGTGGCAAGTTTGCCGCTGCCCTGGCTTTGCCTGCTCCCCCATTCTGCCTCATGCTACGTAACAGAAGCATTTTGCACTTTATTTGCTGTTCTCACAGCCCCCTTCCCTCCCTGCATGGGGGGGGGTGGGGGGAGAGACTAATGAACTTGGCAGAACCAGCTCCAGGGTATTGCCACTACTGAATTCCTCTTGGATGGATCGAACTACTTTTGTTAAAGCAACAGGGCCTCAGCAGGGCCATCATTCCAGTTGGCAGCGTCGCGTGCATGGAAGCACACGCGTGTTACACAGCCCACTTTCACTGATCACCAAATAACAAGACTGTATGCAAATACTTGGTTCCAGGCTTGATTTCAAGTATTTTAATTATTTTAATTTTTTTTACCTGCCTTTGATTCTATTCTCTATCCCCAAAGTATTTTTAAAAGCAAAATTAATCCAGTCCCTCAGCAAGAGGCAGGGCTCCTCCTGATAGTCACAGGCAGTAAAAAAAATGGCACCTCAAGCCACTCTATACAAGGAAAATAGGACTGGCTTCTGTTTTCTCTTTGATAATTGTAACCTCTTGCGCTAAAACGGCTTTGAATATGCCAGCAGTTTTACCCACGCGTGGCAGCTGGTTTTGCTGACTGTAGGGGGCAGCTTATGTGGAATGGAAAAGTATGAGAGGGTGATGGTGGTGGGAACGTATCAAGTTTTTTTTTTTAAATAAAGCAGTGACAGTTTGGGGAGCTAAAAAATAACCTTTGTTGGAATGTTATCAGGAGGGAAATTCGTTCCTATCGAAGCAGAGTTAAAAGATCCAGCAACGAAATCTTACACACGTACTGTGAAGGGCGTGTGTCATAGTGTGAATGCTGAAGTTAAATCCTGAGGGCACTCCTGTCTTTTGAATTTATATCTTGTATTGATCTATTAACTTCTCTGTCATTCTGATGCTTGCATGGGTTCATGCAGAGGATACCATGTGCAATGCTTGAGATTCCAGATATGAAATGTTAAATCTCAGCAAATGGGAGGGGGAAGACTCATTTATATTTTCCTAATTGCTTGTAAGAAAGCTGGAGAGCTATTTAAGGCATGTCCTCTGAAAAAATATAGTGGGAAAGGTCAAAACTAGAATTTTGGAATAATCTGAGTGTAGAAAGAACAGTTACGCTGTTTGCAAGAGATCAGACGAGGGTTTCATTCAGCTCTGTTCTGGTGGGTGATGCACTCATTGCTTCATTTTGTTTGCAGCTATTGCTCATCTTTTCCAGAGGAAGGTTTTCCATATCTTCACAAGGCAGACTCCACCAGAGTCCCTCCAGATTGCTGCATATGAAGAAAAGAGTTTGGCTGTAAATAGTGTGCATAAGTTTAGTATTGCCACCTAATCTCTAACTTTTGGATCTTGATGGGATTGATGTAAAGTCTGGGGAATGTTTTGCTGGTCACTCTCTTTCGGTCTTTTCTTTTTCTGGCCCCAGAGGGAAAATTATGCTGGCAGGACTGCCACTTGGTGAAGGGAGCATGACCCATCTCCAGAACTGAGATGGTTTTTACTCAGTGTGTTTCCACAGAGGGTACTTGACCAAAACGGCTTTCATTTAATCAGTGTACTTTATTGCTGTGGTTATTTTAAGATCTTGAACATCTTTCATGGAGCCCTGTTGACTAATTTCATCTGTAAAGTCCTGAATTCCTTTTTCTACCAAAAATAAAACAAGGATGTAAATAGTCTCTCACTGGATGTTTAGACTGTGGCTCACAAAAGAAATTATCACAGACTCGGGCAATCCTGTGTCCCCCTCGTCCACTGGAAAGCATTAACCAAATCAGCTAATGCTTGCTTCTCTGTAGATTCAATAACCAAAGGCTGCTATGTTGCGTGTACATAATAAAACACTTTTCTAATTTTCTTTTTGGCAGCAATTGCACTGCTACCAGTATGTGTGAATCGGTCCTTTGTCTTAGTCAACTTGCCTTGAAACTTCCTCTGGGCTCGCTAAATCTTTTATCTTTGAAGGCTGGAAATTGGTGACAGAGTTTAGTTATTTTGTGAAGAGAAGACTTCTCATCCTTTCTGTAAAGGCTAGAAGGCTGTTTGCCTCACAGCTAGAGGATGGCAATTCTAAAGTAGTGGAATGTGACTTGCGTTGCCTGTAGTCCTTTGAGCTGATTTGGATGCAAGCAGCCATCTTGGATGGTGACCAAAATTTGTTTTTTTCTAGTTAGGAGGAGGAGGAAGTTGATAGGTGTTGCCTGAAAACTTACTGGTGCACAAAGAGTTTGTTGCAATATTGATACATTTCTCATTTGAACCAATTCCAAATCAGTTTGCAAAAGCATAAATGGAACTATGCATGTGCGTACTGTTGGGTTTTGGGTTTCAATTTTTGACTGGGGCCTGGCAAAGGAGCAAATACACCCAAAGTAACTGTGCTGCTTGTATGCTACTTTTCCTCTAAAGGGTGCAGAGTAGCATCCAAGCTGTTGTTGTTTCTCATGCTCATATGAGCCCTGTGGAGCAGGCGAGGGTGAATGACGACTTATTTGAACTCATCTCACTCTGCTCAAAATCATAATCTCATTAGCCACTGTAATGCACCATGTTTTTCTTTTCATTCTTGGAAGTGGAGCAGAACACCTGTCTACATTTAGGGTGCAATCCTATGCATTATGTGCCATCAAGCTATCTCTGGCTTATCATAACCTAATGAATGAGTGCCCTCCAAAGCGTCCCAGACTGAAGAGCTCAGCTCTTGTCAACGTTGTGGCTTCCTTTATGGAAGCCATCCATCTCTTATTTGGAATGCTGTGCTTGGAATTCTGTAGGTAGGTCAGCAAAAACTCCCAGCATTCCCCAAGCAGCAGGGATGGCTGAGGAATTCTGGGAGCTGTACAGATTTTTTTCCCCTCTTATCCTGCCTGGGATTGATCTTAAACCTCGATGGGAAAGGATGCTGGTGGATGTCGCACTTTGCCACCAGCAGTGCAGTAAGAAGTTTGCCACAACCCATTGGTCCCCCCCCCCCCACCAAGTTTTTTCTTAAGATATTTATTAGGAAGGTTAATAAATGATACAGTGGTGAGACTGTTGGATTGGGGACTCGGGGGCTAGTCCCCTTTCCGCCATGAAGCTCCCTGGGAGTCTTTGAGCTGGTCACTTTCAGCCTGATCAGCCTCACAGGGTTGTTACGAAAAAATGGAGGGGAACTCCGTGTAAGCCGCCTTGGGATCTTCACGAGAGAATAGAAGCGGGATATAAAGGCAGTGCGATCATACATGCAATAGCACAACCAGGCTAGCTCAGGGAAGCCCGGCAGTGCGCCACGAGTCCAGCCTTTCCCGCAGGCATCGCCGGGGCAGCCCCGAGCGGGGTCCTGCGGTCTCCAGGGCGACCTTGAACGGGTCACAAGGCGGAGCCGAGGGTTGGTAGAGGGGAGGACGCGCGAGGGAAGAGGCCGCGACAGCCGAACATGCTGTCCGCGGGCGCGAGGGACAGTGCCACGGGAAGGGAGACGGGCATTTCCCTCCTCCAACCGGATGGCGGGAGTTGGGAGCGAGCGGCCAATGAGAGGCCGGCTTCTGTGAGGGGGCGGGCGCGAGCGGAGCCGGCCTCATGAGGGGCCCTTCCACACCGGGGCGGTGGGAGGGCGGCATCCTCGGCTGAATCGCCCTGGCCTCTTATGTGGCGCAGCCGGAGCAGCCCGCCGCCCGGGCCTAGGCACCCGCAGGTGAGTGGGGGCCGCCCCTGGGGCGCGGGCGCGGACAGCCTCCCTCGCGCACACCTGGCGCGTTCTTTCATGCCCCCGTGCGGTGGCGGGGAGGGGACAGGAGGCCCCCGAGCCCCGCGCGCAGAGCGGGCCGGCCCCGCGGGAGGCCGGCTCCGTCGTGGGCGCACGGGCTTGCCCGCCGCTGGCCGAGGGGTGTGTGCAGGGCTGCAGCCGGGCGCGGCCTCTGGGCTGCCCGCGGGGCTTGATCTCCGCGTTCGCTTGCGGTGCCTGGAAATCCGCGGCCGGGCAAGCTTTTTCGGGGGGGGGCGGGGGGCGTGCTTCGGCGGCGGCGCCCGCCGGAGGGCGTGGCATCCCTGCAGCGGGACGGGCTGGCGCGCGGGCTGGTTTGGGGTTTGACGCCGCTGCGTGTCCTGCAGGTCGTTCCAGGGGGTTTGCAGAGGGTTAGGGGCGCGTGGCGGGAGGAAGGGTGCCCGTTGTCCGAGGGCTCACCCGATGCAGTCTTCTGCCTCCACCTGGCTTCTGAAATCTGCCCTCTTAGGCGTTCGGTGGTTCAGGCTTAAATCAGCGTTTTTATCTAGCCTATTTAAAGCATTATAGGGACTTAAAATGACTCCACCTTCTGTGAATTTTCTGGGCAGGGATCATCTGCCTGCAGATCTCCGGCAATCCCTCCGGCTCAGAGTGCATAGCTGGATTCACTGGAGGAGTGGGGTGAAATACTAATAGTCACTGCTTTCTTTGGGTTATTCACTGAACTTAATTTTATGCTCTTTGTGTTACTTTTACAAGAATCTGTCAGAACTTTCATTGAATAGTTAGAGAACAGAAACCACAATTGCAGTAGTAAAATTGCTCCAGGTCCATGCCAAGACCTCTACCAATCCGCTCATGTTGGCTCTTTGTGGCATAGGAATTAAACATAATTCGCTACAGAAAAGAAACAAGCATTATTTTAAATAATTTTCTGTCTTTTCCTATCAACTGATTTGCCTTATTTCCTAGGCTTTTAATGTACCTTGGTTTGTAATTCTGAAATGCACGTGGTTGAATTTAGACAGTCACACATTGATTAAGCCCATTGGCATCAATGGGTCTGAAATTGCTCATGTCTGCCTTGTCACACAGGTTTCATGGGCTCTAAGTATGAGTATGACTGGGGTTCAGTCCAGTGCCCATAGCCTGGCCTCACCTGCCTTTGTGAGGTGTTAATCTCAATGTACGATAACTCTTGGTGTAAATAACTAAATAAAAACTCTAGTCAGGTTTGAAGTACTGCTCTAGTTATAATCATGTGTTCTCATTTATGCTGACCATCTGTAATATTTGTTTTCCCCCTGCCATGAATTAGATTCTATTTCTGTGCCACCAAGAGCCAGTCTGATCTAAGTGCTAGAAATTAGGACATGAACTTGGATTCCTAGATTCCTCCAATTTGCCTTTGTGGCTTCTGTTCTCTGCTCAACAGGATTTGTAACGTGCTCTTGTGAAGGTAAATACAAGCCTTACAGAACTACTTTGCAAATTGAACAAGTTCTGAGTAAATAATTGGGAGAGAGGAGTATCTGCTGTTATTTTGAGAGAAAGGAGTACCTCCTGTTACAGCTATACAGTCTGAGCAGCAACGGATAATGGTTTGCAGGCTGTTTGATCCCTGGTGGAGAGGATTCAAAGCAGATGATTTAAAATCAGCAAAGCAAAAACTCTGACAAACCATTGATTTTATATGGTGTTGTCTTGATTTAATGTGTGTTTCATCTATTTTCTGAACAATGGTGGAAATCTTAATTTACAGCATTGTTAACATTAGCAGTAGGTAACCGTACTGGCACAGTTGCCAATTGGAGAAAGCTCCTGGGTGCCACCACAGAATGGGTGCACTGCAGATAAAATAAAAGCACCAGCCTGCAGCCCTCTGCTGCCTAAGAATGTACCTAAGTGCCACATGTGGCCCTAGGAAAAGAAGATGGGGCCAGATAGAGCCCCGCCCCCGCCCCAGGTTTCCTTTAAAATGACCCAAGCTACAGCAATAGTCTGGGCCCAATTTAACGTGCTGATGATATAAAGCCCTACACAGCTTAGGGCCTGGTTATCTAAAGGAACCTCTTCTGTATGAACTTGCCCCAACCCTAAAATCATCTGCAGATGTCCTTCTCCAAGAACCTTTCTTGAAAGAGTTAAGGGGAGCCATGACAAGAAGGGCCTTTTTTTGCTATTGTACCCCAGTTATGGAATTTGCTCACCAGAGAGATGCACCTGGCACTGACAGGTTGCTCATTCCAGTGCCAGGCCAAACTCTTTCTGTTTGCCCAGTTTTTAATTGTTAGATAGCATTTTAACTATGTATTTTAATATCAAATACGGACACTGTGGGGTTTTTAATTGCGTTGTTGTTTTTAACTTTTTTTGTTTTTAACTTCTGCGACTGTCTTGAGATTCCTTTGAATAATTGGCAATATAGAAAAGCCATAAATAACTAAACAAACCTGGGGTTTTCCAAACATTTGGACTTCAGCTTCCATGAACCTTAGGTTGCATGTGCAGTAGTTGGGAAAGTTGAGTGTTTTAGTCCAAAAGTTCTGGAAGGCACCAGGTTAAGGAAAGCTGCTTTAGGATTATGAATTATATTATGTATAACTTGGGTTTTTTTTGATAAAATTATAATAAAATTGCTATCTTTAAAAGCTCAATACATTTGTAATTACAGTCTCAGTAAACTATAATTTCAGTATGCCACACATTGTAGTTTTATGGGCAAAGAAGTTACTCATAATATGTTCCTACTTGTAAGGAGTTAGGAACAGTTCCTGTTTGTAGAGTAGAATTTAGAGAAATCTTACCCAAAGGAAAAAAATACTGAGATTTAATTAGCTAGGAAAAACACAGACTGTGATTAGAAGGGTGACTTTTGTAAATAATTTCTGTTAATGAACATGCGTTTTTTGTTTTTTGGATAGTTGTGAGTGATATCATAGACACCAAATTATTCCATTATTCAGTTTCTTTTAAATAGAGAGTGTTTATTCTCATGGTATCAGTTAAAGGATTTTATAGCCGAAGCAGCATTTACTAGTGATGAGGTTAAATGAATGTTATCAAAAACTGTAGCAGTGAATTCCATAGACCTAAGTCCCAAAAATATTTTTTTAAAGAAACATAGAGTTATCCCAAGCTGTTCTGTCACATGTGGCAGTCATGGCTGGTTAACCAAGAGTGCTCTTTCATTTGTAGATTTAAAGTAGAATTATTTAGAATTATAATAATTGATCGCTAGCTTCCTGCCAGAACGAGCCCAGTAGCACAGGCCTTGACAGAACGAAACACAGGCTGTCATGAAGGAACATTTTCTTCTACAGTTTGATAGGGTGAATCTACTGGAAACTGAGCATGACTTGGCGTGTGTCTAGATATCTCTCAGAAGATAGGGTTAATGAATTGAGGAAATAGCTGTGCTGAGAATCTTAATGAGAAGATTTAAAAACCATCCCTTCGAGGCCTTATTTTTCCTTGTTTTTCTTACAAAAGAGCACAAATCATATCAATAAATTTCCAGAAACTTTGCACTGTAGTCTTTTTGTAAAAGTCTGATTGATCACTTTTAGAAATCATTTGTGGGAGGAATAAAGGCTCACATGCCTAGATTCTGCGCAAATTTCATTCAGTATTCTAAAAGCAAATGCTTCATAATCCAAAGCTCTTGAATTATTTCCAGATTTTTTAAAACAAACTCAAACCCCAAATAGCCCTTGAAAAGAAAAGAAAAGAAAAGAAAAGAAAAGAAAAGAAAAGAAAAGAAAAAGGCGGGGGGAGATGTGTTTTTCTCCTGAATTGTTCCATGTGTTTTTTCCTGGGCTTGCGCATCTTTAATGGGGGCCAAGTTCCATTCAGTTCACCCACTCCTAGTATACATGCTTAGGATAGTACTATAAGGCACTTATTGTAGCCATCTCAATAAACTGGCTAGCATTGTTTCAGCTAATCACTTGTGGAGTTGCTGCCCCAAGCGAACGTAATGGAGTGGCTATGCTCTTTGGCAGGTCTGCCTCAAGTTCATTCCAGAGCAGACATCCAGTGTCCCGTCTCGGAGCACGACATCCTGGTTGGCATCAGTTAAGCTGCAGTGATACAGCAGCTGGACTCCCACAGCCGTTCCTTTCTTGGCTGGTCCATGAGGGGTTTATAGGCTTGTGTTCGTGATCCAATGCACCTTTGAGAGCAGAAGCAGTTAAAATTGCTTTTAGGCCAGCTTCAGCCTTCTCACTTGGAACATTTTCCCCCAGGACTTGATCCTCTCGTGCAGAGGCGGAAAGACCTTTGGCCTGAGGGTTTCCCCCGGCTGCTGTGTTTGGAAAAGGATTTTGCAAACAGCCTGCGCCTTTACCCCTTCCAGACTTGGATTTCAGGGCTGGTTTATAAATGGGCTGCATCAGGTCATTTCTGGGTTGCAGTTAAACATGACTTGGAAGACGGAAAGCTGATCCTGTTGCTAATACAGATTACCCACAGGTTTTAATACCCTGTTGAAACGTGGGTCGGGGGAAGGCTTTTAAAAACTTATTTTTGGCTCTTGCTCACCTGATTGGAGAGGAGGTCATGGCACTGGAAATGCCATATGGTGAGATTACATTTCTGTGTCTCAATTGTCTACTGATAATAAGGTCTGACACCCCCCGCCCCGCCAAAGAAAAACCTCCAAAAAGTGAACAGTTGGCCCTTTTCATTGGATTTCTCTGTGGTTTGCCAGTGTTCATTCTCTTCGCTGTCCCTCAATACATATTAATAAGCTTGCTACTTGAAGCAAACATCTCCCCTTGGGCACACTAAGTGTTTCAAATTCTAGAAGCAAGCTTGCAAATCTGACAACTCCTTTTCAGGTTTAATCAAGCTTAATCTTCCCTTTTCTTCCTATTCATTTCAGCTGCATTAGTATCCCACTTTGCCGTGTTATGTCTACTCCTGGCAGATACAGGTTGTTAATGTGCTTCGTTCAGTTTTATACCTTTTGGATCTGACTGCTGGCTGATAGAAAACTCTCCTTGAGCAGGGTGAGATATTAAAGCCCATTGACTGCATAATGCTTGAAGCTGTCTGTGATTGCAGCATAAAACCTCCTCCCAGCCTGCCTGGCTTTTGGGTTTGGATGTGGCTATTCAACAGTTTTGCTTTGTGCAACAGATTGTTATCATCTTTAAAAGAAACAGAATCAGCAACACTGAAGTAAACACAACAGGGCAATGTGTCTTTGCAGAATTATGTTTTCCTACCACCTAGAAAGTAAGCACTGAGACTTTGCAGCATACGGATGCTGTTCGGGGGAACATCAGCAACTTGTGTCTTCTCTATTGAATGTTAGCTAGTTCAAAAATTCCTGCTGTGCGGCACTGCAGCATGGGCCCCTTTGTTGCAGTGGTGGCTTGCAGGAGGAAACCGAGCTAATTGCAAGGCTGAGTCCAGTACAGTTAGCAAGGGAAAGTGTGAAAGGCCGCTGACACATTGTACTGACTGTCTCTTCCAATCTCTTTCCATGGCTAGGACTGGCTTGTTGTTGAGGCTCGGCAGGAATGTTCCACCCACTGCAGTGGAGGCCTCCCTCCAGCATTTATTCCTATTATGCTAACCTGGCCCACTTCATCAGCAACAAAGGGAAACTGGGTTTGTGGAGAAGTGACACATCCTTGAAGGACAGGTACCAGTGGCTGCTTACCTGGCTACAGAAAGGCTCTGGGCGATGTCCGAGGCAGAAGAGCCTCCTCTCCCTGCTGGCTAACCAGTGCAGTTATGTGACTGGCCAGAGGGTCCAGCGTGCCCAGCAGATTGGGCAGCTGTATAGCAGCATCTATTCAGAGAAGACGCGCAAGAGCCTTTTCAGCTCCTTGTGGCGCAAGTTCCAAGGGCATCATGGTAATGCCTGCAAGCTGATGGCAGCCCTCACGGGAGTGTTCTTGTGGGAAGAGGAACGGATCAAAGAAGAGGAGCTCAAAAGGTGCGTCTCTGTCTCTTTCTTTCCTAAGGGTCTTGGATCTTTTCTTTCCCAAGGGTCTTTGTGTTGTAAGCCGTCCCGAGGCTTCTGCAAGGGGCGGCATAGAAATGTAATAATAATAATAATAATAATAATAATAATAATAATAATAATAATCATCTGGCACAGGAGTCAGAGAACATTCCCTGCTCGTAATTGTGCAGGAAGCATTTCAAGTCCCTTTAGCTCCTCAGTCATTCGTGCTTGGACCAGGGAAGCAATTTAAATTTCTAGCAGCCGTTTACCACATCCTGTTTGTAGTCTTTGTGCCATGTTTAACTGCTGTTTGTATTCATCTTATTTCTGTGCTAATTCATCTTTCTATAAGCTATGCCAAGTTCTGGCAGAGGAAAATTTTAAATAGGAAAAGTGATAAGGGCAGTGGGAAATATCTATCGCCTCGAAACCAGACCCAGAGTCTGGATCGTGCACGTTTTCAAATAACTTTGCAATCACATGCATGACAAATGTAATTTTCATGGACTCACTATTTCGTCTGTAATAATTGATTCTGTAAATGCTGGATTACAAGAGCCAACTGGATCTGGATGCGGTAGCCTCATGTAGGGGTGCGCAGACTTGGTCAGGTTGTGGTTGTGTATCTTCCCAAATGGGGCTGTGAGGTAGTGGAAGAAAAGAAATAGTAAAGAAGTCTTATTAGAAATGTGGCTATGGTAAGCTGCTTTCCCAGAAAGAATGTGCTATTTCCCTGCATGGCGACATGATTTCAGCATAGATCCAGTCCAGACTGAGGCTTTTGCTAGTGTCCCCATTCCTTGCCAGCAGTCCTAGGACTCGAGACGTGGAAGAGAAGGAGCGGTATTCCTCCGAGTCGTGGGACAGTCTGAGAGTGCAGGTGTGCATGCCCAAAGTAGAGCTGCTGTGCAGTGCCTTTGCACGTGGGGTCAGCGGTACTGTCAGTGGAAACTTTTTGCAGCTGTTCAGTGTGAACAGTTTGTGTCAGCTGTGTCCCCTGGGATAGTGAAACAGTAGTGCTTGAAGCGCTGCCTTGCACTGAAGAGGGGGCGTGAAGGACAGCCAGAAGTTCCACACGTTGAGCTCCAGCCGGAATTGGGTCTGCTGCGTAACGGCTCGGCCGCTTGTTCCTTGTTTCAGCCAGCGCTGCAGTTAGTACCCTTTTACTGTGAGGGCTGGGGTCTCATCCTCATGCCAGTCATGATATACCTCTTGTTTATAACCCGTCGCTTTCACCAAGTTCTGCTAGGAACACCTCCTCCTTCGTTGTGTTAAGTTCAGAGCATAGGGGTCGAGGTGCAAAGGAGCTGGTTCTTTCTATCTAAAATTCTTTCTAGGTTGCCTTTAAGAGTGGAATCCTCCCAAGGCAGCCTAGAAGATACAAAATGCACAAAGTGGATAAAAACATGAAAAAAACATAAAAACAAATACAGTGGTACCTCGGCTCACGGACACCTCAGTTCATGACCAAATTGGGTGGCGAACAGAAATTTCATAAAAATTTTGCCCCAGGTTGCGAACTCCACATCGGGTGACGATTGCGAGCGCGCCCACCGTCCCTGCACGGGCGTGATCGCAGTCATGCTGGGGGAGGGGAGATGGCTGCGTTCATGTTGGGGAGATGGCCACAATTGCACCCGTGTTCCCATGCCCGAGCATGCCTGTGCCCACCTCCCCCCCAGTGTACCATCGCCTGCCTCCCCCCTGCACGCCCACGCCCGCCTCCCCACAATTGCTGGGTGGGGTGGGGGGAGATGGCCACAATCTTTGTTGTTCTTTGTCACTTTGCTTCAAATTTTTGTGAGTAAAAAAATTAGTTGCAGAACAGATTAACCTTATTTACATTGACCCTTATGGGGAAATTTGACTTGGCTCATGACCAGTATAGGTCACGACCGAAGTCCTGGGACGGATTGAGTTTGTGAGCCGAGGTTCCACTGTACTAGTAAAATCCAACAGCTCCACCTTAAGGGAAAGTCTTCAAAAACTGCTGGTTCTTGGAAACTTGCCTAAAGTTTTGCAAGGAGAGGGCCTAATAAACCTGCAAAAGAAGCTTCTGGTTTTTGTCTATCTGAGATAAGGATACTGTCTGTTTTTGTGACTATATCTAATTTCAGAAGGGGCTGTAATCTTGTGTGTGTACCTGGAAGATGGCTGGTGAGAATGCTTTTCCCAGACTCTGAGGCTGACTGGCCCACTTGAATGAAGCTTGCCATAAGGGGAACTATAATTCTGGAAGGCAAATCTTGAAAGTCTTTGAGAGTCTGTGGAAGCTTTTTATAGAAATGAACTGAGCAGTGTACACAAGGTATACTCAGTGTAACTTAATGGTTCTCATGTTGGGCTTGGGAGATCCTGGTTTTAGTTCCCACTTTGCCATGAAGCTTGTTTAGGTGAGTTTTAACTTGCCTCTCTTGTTGGAAAAGGTTATGTAAATCACTTGGGATTATTGCATGAAAAATGAGTGGGATATCAGTAAAATAAACACAATTTCATGTTGGAAACTTTTTTTGGACCAGCAACTTGACTTCCAGACAGCCCTTGATCATCCAGGAGGCAGCTGTGCCCCAGTCAGTGACACTGGTTTGGCTCGCCCGGCGGGGTGTTGCGGGCTTTCCGTGGGTCTCACTTCAGTAATAAAAAGACTGAGTTTGAGTGGAGGGAGGAACAGAAACAACACTGAATAATCATTTTATTGTAAATGCGGGAAGTTTTTGTTTGATTGCATTTCTGCTGGAGGTGCCTTTTGAGATGGCCACCCCGAGAAGCAGCTGGCACACAAGCCGCTCCCACTCTGCGGTGGGAGTGACAGCGGCATGGGAGGGGCCCAGGCTAGGCTGGAGAGGAACCCTGCTTGGTCCAGGGCACGGTCAGCCTGGCGTGCATGGAATGGCTAACCAGGGCTAGTCCCGAAACGAAGCGTCTGGAAGGAGGTTGTTGGGAAGGGAGAGCAGTGCACCTCGGCAGTAGCCAGCAGTTGTATGTAGAGGAAAGCTACAGGATACTGCAAGCCTTCAGTTAATGGTGCAGGGCACATTCTGAGAATGTGTGGGATTCTGTGCCGTGTAGCAGAGCCCTTCGGATGGTTCGGTCATTTGCTCAGATCCCCAAGGAGGACGTGAGCAGGTGCTGGGGCATATCGGCTGCGTTTTCTCCATGAGCCTTAAGCAGTCCCTCTTTATTTGGGGGTGGCAAGAGGTTTGCCTGCTCAGGGGATGTTGCAGCACTGCCGTCGGTGAAGCCTGCTCGCAAACGCGGCTTGCGTGAATGCCAGAACCCCTCTCCTTTGATAGTGGCCCTCTGAGCGAGGAACCGCTGGCAGCGAGCCAAAGTCACGCAGAGTCGATTGGTAGTGCAGCGAGGAGGGGCTTCTGAGCGATTTGAGTGGCCTGGCAAGAGCACTCTTGGTTGCCTTTCCCACACAGCTCAGCTGCTGGTGATCTTCCACCGATGGCCAGCCCCTTCCCAGTGCCATATCTCAAACACAGGCAATGTGTAAACAGAATGAGCTGTGCAGAAAAACCTCCACAAAGTGGCAATTTTGAAATCCATCCTCCAGCAGGGGTATTTCAGCCCCTTATTAGGTGTCCTTGAAGGTCTCGAGGCTTGGAATGTGCTTAGGATTTGTAGAAAGAACGAACTGTGCAGGAAAAGATGCAAAAAGATTCAAGGTTACCTAAAGTTTAGCATTCGTATAGCATTTGGATAATTAAAATCCATAGTGGAAATGGGAGCTTGCCCAGTACTGTGTCTTTGCACTGGCAGTGTGTAGAGGAGAGAGCAGCCATGTGTGAAACGTTCAGATGTTCTTTGTGCGGCCATGAGTGGAGTGCACAAGCCCGAGTCTCACCCATCACAAGACACTTCTTGTCCATAGTCTAAATGGGACCAGAATGTAATTATTGATTGGACTGTACCCGGCTGTACCACCAAGGAAATGGAGCCAGTGGTGGCTGTCCATTCTCTCCTGAACCAGAAGCGTAGGGCAAATGGATCCATGAAACCGCCTGTGCGGTTTCATATACATGCCTTGTGAAGAAGTCTACAAAATACGCTAGTCCTTAAACATCCCTGCTGCAGATACTAATACTTGTGCCTTACATTAGTGAGGATCAGTACAAAGGTGAAGATGGCACTTGGACTCAGAGTCACAAGAACATTCTTGCCCATTTTAGTCAGCGTGGGCTGCCTATTTAGACATTTCTTGTGCAACTTAAGGCTCTCCATGATGCACAGCATTTCCTGTTGTCAGTGTACCATTCCTCCTGGAGCTTGTCTCTCCATCCAAGCTCCAAATGGAAGAGCTGGGGCAGAGGTGGCATCCCAGCATCCCTGCTGTTCTTGCATCTGAGCCAGCAAGCCCTCGCTGATCTTGTTCTCCTCCCCGCAGGTCAGCAGAAGAGATGAAACGCTTGGAAGAGATCACCAAGCTCATCCAGGACAACGGAGGGGAGAACCCCGCACAGGAACCAAAGCCCCACGATGCTGGCACTTGCGATCCTGAGGAGCAGAGCTGGGAAGTCGTGATGGAGAAGAAGCACTTCAAGCTGTGGAGGCGTCCAATTGGAGGGACCCATCTGTACCAGTACCGAGGTAGCATGAGCCCGCGTGGCGCAGGGGCGGAGAGCACGTGGCTGGAACTGAGGTGACCCCGGATGCAGTCCCTGCTCAGCCCTGGAGCCGGCAGTGTGACCTTGGGCCCAGCCTGTCTCACCTGGCATAGAGACACTGGGTCATGACCCTGAGCGAGGATATGTTCGGTCAGGCATCCTAGGACATTCCCGTGGGCGTGGGCTCTGCCAGAGAGAGTGCTGGCTAGCAGGACTGGTGAATCACGCAGGACCGTGAAGCCTGCTGCAGAGAAGCCAGCCCCCAGGGGTGCCCTAACACTGGAGCAAATGGGGACGCCCTTTCCATTTTGTGTTTTGTGCCTCACTCTCAGATTGGAGGGGGGATTTCTTGGAACTGCTAGAACCCTGCTGTGACGTTTTGTAGACCCTGTTTCTATCCAGCTACATAACTCGGTGAATAGTAGCTAATGTGAAGCCTGAATGCATATTTGGCAGACTCCTAATTAGGAATGTTTTCACAGGTATGGGGCACTGAGCCTAACTGGGGACAGGGCAAGTTGATTTTAAGAGTGTGCATTCTTCTGATTTATTTTTAAATTGCATAGTGTCTTAATTGTAAGCTGCCTTAGAGACCTGTTGGCAGGCAGAGATAAACATGTTTTTTAAATATATATATATATATATATATATATATATATATATATATATATA